TAGATTAACAGCAAATAACCTACCTTTTTTTCATGAAAGCAATTTTCACGTCATAATAAAAAGTTGCTTTTTCGCAAGATTATTCTTTAAAATATTAATTTCTGGAATAGCGTTTAATTGGGTAAGAAAGAAAAACAAATTAATTCCTCTCCAAAACTATTACCTTTTCAATAATGTTGACCCATAAAGTTAACTCTCGACAACGTTTAACATTATAGAAAAAAATAATGATAAAGGTAAGCTTAATTTGATTAATTTTCTAAAATTAAAACAATTAAAAACATCAAAGGACGATTAGCAAGTCTTGCATATTTGTTTAAATTGTTTAATATAATTGTTCAAGTGATAACCAGTGATAAAATTACGTAAAATTTGTCTAAGCATGAATTCGCTTTTTTTTTCCAACTAGGTACATATTTTTAATGTTATTACAGATTGCTATGCTTGTATATAGAGCACATTTTTTTCGTTGTCTACTAATTTAGCTTAAACCGTTTACCTGCCAGATTCTTATTTTGCACTAATGCAAAGAGTGTCTTAACCCCTTGGAGACGACTGATTCATAAAAGCATTCGTACAAAATCTGAATCGGGATGTAAATAAATAAAGAATGGTAGCTTAAATGTAGGCGTTGCTTATTTGACAGACTTACTTTGCTTTTACTTTAATTATTATTAGTTTAATCATTTATATAATCAATGTTAATTCAAAGTATAACTAAATAATTTTATTTTGAACTAAAGTAATGGTGGATTAAATAAATCAAACAATTATACAAATTAACTGCCCACAAATAAACTGCTAAACAACTACTTTGGTTACCAGTTTTATCTTTTTACCCTGATTGATACGGTTTTATGCTGGCACGCATTTGTGACAGTCGGCGCGAGAGGGTTAATGAAAAATGTGGTCGCAGGACTGCATTTAAGTTTTACGGATAGTTTATTCAATTAACCAATTTGGTTCAACAAAAAAAAAACCTAACAATTACTTGTGTTTAGAACAGTTCACTTATCAAATGGAGCTGGGTATCTGAGCTAAGCATGGCTTTAGTCCATTCATCATGGTCATAATTGTCAGAGAGGTAGATAAATTATATGGAAACGGAAAAGAAGTTTCATATAGTAGAGGAGCGGATATCGTTGTTCCTTATGCATGGTTGCCACACGTGACTAAAAATTCAAAATTTTACTAAAAGAAAGGAAAATTCGCTACTTTTAACTGCATATATTTTTCAGTTTTGTATTTTAAAAGAATACATCTAATTTTAAATATGAATACTTTGAAATGTAAGTTACAGTGGTAGTTACAGTTGAATAATTAAAGATAAAATAAATAAACAGAAATGAATTGAGTTTCTACCACTTTTTACAATTGTAGTCGACTGTGGCATCTCTGCTTTTGCTTGGTCTTTAACGCTATTTGTAATAATATTGGAAGAATTTAATACAGATATAAATTTGAAGTCAAGTCGTGATTATGTCATATGGCGGCGTATTTGGTATGTANAAGGTCCGAATATTAAAATAAGTGGTCAAAGCTAAAGGGTATTTTATTCAAGGTATAAACTGTTCTGTAGGACTTCGTTTGTTGTGCGACGTACGTCGCACAACTGCTTCTTCTGCTTCTGGGCATATATATATATATATATATATATATATATTCTGCTTCTCCAATTGTAAATGCAAAGAATGAAAGGTATGAGTTACCAGTCATTAATAATTGAAAAGAGACACGTTGTGAAAAGAGAACAAAGGCGCTTAAATGGTAAAGAAAAGTCTGGTCTGGCTGGGCTCCTGAGGCCAATAATGGCCCTTTTCCCATTCATCCCGTAATGAAAACACAAGCAAAAACAATAAGCAGATTACATAAAAAGCAACAAATAATGGCACATGTTAAGGTAGAGAAAAAAGAATGGCACTTTGTCAAAGTAACAAATAATTCTAGTATGGAAAAGTGCAAGACATATTTACAAGTAGGGAAACGAAAATTACAAGAAGGAAAAATATTTACAAAAAATGAGAAGAATTAACAAATATTCATAATGAATAACGTTAACATCATGAAAAACTTCATTAACAAAAAAGTGTACCTCTGTTAAAGTAGAGACCCGACCGTCCTGGATGTTACCACTCGTGTCGGGTTGCTCTCACCACAAAATTTCGGGTTACGCCACCGGGTTCAGAATTCATATCGAAATATCAATATTTTTAATAATAACATATTTTGATAAACAAAACAATCTATATCTTCTCTCTGCAAAATAAATACAAATAAACACTTTTTCTATCTGATTTTTCTTTTTTGAAGGATATAAAATAAAATAAAAACTCCATTTTAAGGAGCGCTACGCTCAAATGGGTTAAAACTGAGGTCTATATTTAAGGTAAAGAAAAAACAATAAAAATTTTCTTGCTATGCTTTAAAACAATTGATGCACTTCGATAACATCATGATTTTAAAACAATTTGATCTAATACTATCTAATATTTTCATTTACCTGCAAATACTAATGTTTGATGAAGCACATTGTTTCTTCTAGTTATTAATGATTACACATTGGAAAGTTTGGTGATGCGTAAGTATTAGAATACTTACTGATGCGTGAGTGTTAGAGTCAAATTTGCTTGAATGAATTAGATAAACAATTTATTAATGAACTGTAAATTAAATTTTTTTTTCTTGCAGCTTTTTTATGGATTCTGAGCTGTTTTGAAAATTTTTGAGAAAAAAAATAATCATGTTATTACGGAGAATATTTTGTGCGTACCACTGTTTGTTTTACTGTGTTGCATTTTTTTTTCTTTTTTTGCTATACGCAGTAACATTTTACTTAAAAGGCACAAAAGGCAGTCCTAAGAATCATGTTCGAAAAATCATCTGAAACAAAAAGAAGAAAAAAAACGAATTATTACAAAGGAGAGAAAATTTTTATCTCATTATTGCGATCAGCAATCACTGGCTATCTTTAGACATATCGGTCTTTTGACAAACGTTACCACAGTATTTCTAGCCATGAATTGCAAAAACTGCATCAAGATATGTTTGTTCTCTTATTGTAGTCATCCAATGGGCTGGATTAGTTTTCAATTCCAGCGGACGTGCGTTTCTTAAGATTTCCCAAAATTCTTTTCTTTATTCAATATTCATATTCATATTAAAAACACAAGGCAGTAATTATAAATAAGTTAATCATGAAAATACTTAAAATTAATATTATGTAAAAACATTAAAAATGCAGGCTGGTGAAAAAAGGAAGAAGAAAAAGCTAAGTCTGCAAAACAATCAACTCCAAGAAATTCCAAAATTATCGTCTACTTTTATCCTTATTTGATCTTGTTCTGATGCCTTTTTATTAATGCTTATGTCAGCTTAATTTTTTTGACTTTTACAAATCTTTATTTGGGATTATGGTGAAGTTGATCAAGTCTAGAGTTTCTTCAACTGTGGAGCAACCCCAAACTGAGAAAATTTCTAGCAACCCCAATCGGAGTTGTCAGAAATTTTCGCATTTTCTTTACTTATTCTAATTATTTTATAATTACCAAATATTTTTATATAGTGTATCTGAAAATAAATAAAGATATTTGTGTGAAAAGAAATTTTTCTCTTTAAATACCACTCAATCATAACTGTGTCAATCAAATCTGAAGTATATTGAATAATTGGGTAAAATATAGCCTACGTCACAGGTTGTGTTGTTCCTACTAAATTTAACCCATGAACAGCATTTTCTGCGAGCCTAACTTCAAGCCACAAATAAACAAACGAAGTGTTCGATCGTTTAAATAGCTGCTCGCCAGATTTTATTGCATTATAAAGAAAAGTTATTGAAACTAAATACAACTAAATAAACAACAACAACTAAAACAAATAACAACAACTACTAATAACAATAACTAAATAAAAAACAACTAAATTCCATTCGTTTAGCATTGCGTCATATGTTGCTCCTACTAAATCGAAGTAGTTGTATTTTTTTTCATATTATACCCAATTGCGTAAATCTTCGTAGTATTTGCATTATCATTAAATTGCCTGGGGTAATACAGTGATAAGCCACACTTTTTCCAAAGGTGATATTTTTGTACCAATTTTTTCCCTTGTTTTGTTTCACGATGAGTACTTTTCAAGCATCCAGAATTTTTACTAAACAACAGTATAAACTTCTCTTTGTTAGGTAAAAATCTTAGTTTTTCTTCCAAACAAGCTCTGAACAATTTGAAAATGTGGATTATTATTATATTACCCAAAGACCTTAAACTGAACTAAAATTAACTTTAGATACCACTTTCGTTCGGAAAAACCACAGCGACATGTTTACAGATATTTATACTTCATACCTTACTAATTTATTATTTTTTGTGGCATGCATACCTTCAAACCATTACGAAAACGATATATACTAATTAAAATTCTTTATTTGTTTTACATACACACGCATATAAGCAATGTTAGCTTATTAATTTTTTTAAAATTATTGTTCTTCTTTAAGAATTGAATTTTTTAATAATTTTTTAATCGCAAATTTTTAACTGGAAATTTTTGGTATGCTTTGTTAAATCTGAAAGCCAATTTCATCTTATTTCTAATTGAAAAATGTGAAGATAGAGTCTGTTAGGAATTTGAAAAAGACCTCTGAATTTTAAAATTAGTGTAGCGAATATACTAGATTACCGCATTTAGCGTTTTTTTTTTATTTATTGTTTCGATAAGAATTAGGCCATATCATCAAGTTTTTTCATTCTTTAATATCATGCAACCTTTAAGTTTTAAATAGAAGACAGTTTTCAATCCTTTTTAATTTTTTGATTGTAATAAAGAATGCCAAAAACTGCTCATTCAACTTTCATAATACTAGAGTTTTCATTGTTGAATAAATAATGTTCTCAATGTTTATTCTAGAAAGAATTTAAAATTGATGCCAAAATGAATAGCTTTTCATCTCAAAATCGTCTGCGCTTAGGGAAAAAAAGTAATAAGACAATTAAGCAGCGTTATGTTCAAACATCGGTTGGCAAACGAACTCACGGAAATTTTAAACGCTCGAGTGCAGTTAGGGTTAAGGTTCGTTTACTTTATTAGCGCGCATGAAGCGCTTTTAAGAAGATTTTCTTACAGTAAAAAAGTCATTTGTTAGATTCAACCAATTGTGACGATATTCACTTAAGAATGAGAACGGAATCGCCCATCGTGCAGCCATCTTTTTCGATGTAATTTCCTCAACGTGACCATTTTTCGAGCAGACGATTCTTTAAGTAGTGCAAAAATAAAAAGACGAAGGATGTCAATGTCTACGTTTGACTTGAAGAAACCCAAATCCTTTATTCATTAGGTCAACTGATACCTGGATCGCTTCTCTAAAACATTCGATAAGCGAAAGTTTGGGAGAGAGTTTTAGCTGAAAGATATGGATCTCTGAGAATAACAATGTTACCAAAGTGTGCCTTACCTGGCTTAGCGGTTATTACGTTTCATTTCATCTTGGTGGCATTTGCAGAACAAAGTAAGATAATTTTAATTTTTTGTGCTTATTCTGTCGTCCGAATCTGGCTCTCGGTGATAAATTTAAAGTATATTTTAAGATTCTTACTTTATTTAATAAATTTGCTAAATTCAACTTTAAATTTTTGTACAGCTTACAACTTTGCGGGTACAATCCTCTTAATAGAAATGTCGCATCTTCGATATCAAGTCACACTTTACTTAGCACGCGTATTATGGAAATGTACTAAAATATAAAGAGTGGTAACTCATTTATCTAGTTCTTATAGAGCTTATTTTGTAGGGACAACATATTTGCATAGCTCTCAACTTGTACGTCCATTGAAAAATAATTTTCTTAGTGATAGCAATGTCGGCGTTTCAGCCTCTTGAAGTTTAAAGTTAAAAAAAAAAAATTAAATAACTACGACAAATTAATAATTTGAAGGAAAAAATATGCAGATAAGATCTAATTGTGGGCTTATTATTCTTATAGATGCCTTAATAGTTTTGTTTTTAGAAAATTCTCCCAAACTTAATTGTTGGCTTACTACCGCCTTATAAAATCCTTTTCAACAACCGTACAAGTTAGCCGGTATGCATTTCTGTCCACAAAGATGTTAATTTGCTGTGTCTTGTGCGAAAAGTTTTCTTAGCGTGAGAGTTTATATTTGAAATTGTGATTTAAAAGATTCAATTTAGAATGATTTTGCCTATAAATAATTAAAACTCATATATAAAACGCTGCTTCGTAACCCGGGAAACAAAGATAGATAACGACAATTACATATTTTTTGATGAGACGTTTAAAACATTCTCAAAATTAGCAGAATTATCCATTTTTCTACTTTTTGAAATATTTCGCCCTGTGAGCTGCAGTTTGCATTCCTGCTTTTCAATTTCATTAAACGAAAGTTCCCAAACACTATTCATGTAAAGGCGCTTTTCACATTTGTACATAAACATGCACTTTTATTCCTTTGACAAGAAATAGATCAATTAATGTTTTGAAAAAGGATTAACAATTGTTTCAATTTTAAATCATCTAGTAAAGTGAATTAATTTATTATCGATTTATTATATGTGTTAGTAATAATGAATTAATTGGATACTTATACGTTATCCCAAAAATTGTTAAAAAGCAAACTGAACTTATAAACCACTTTCTTATTTTTTCTCAAGAACTGTACGATCTCTATTGAATTATTTCGATATTGAGAGCTGCAAGCGGCCCCAAGCTCGCAGTTTCAGGATCAGGATCGATAGTGAGAAGTTCAAGAGATAAAATTTTTTTGACAATAATACATTATAAAGGTTGAACATCTGTCTGTTTTTTCACATGGTAGTAAATTCAATTAAAAGACTTTTGTAGACGCTGTGACACTTTTTGCAAACTCGCGCCGTGTCTTTGCGTTGAACCTCATCTCCGACCTCGTTGTCGAAGCTGAATCGCTATTCAACCTGGTATTTTTTTAACTTATGGTAGTCACAGACTAGATGGTAGTCATTGGGTGTTATGCTCGGATTTTAGGGGGTGTGTGGTATTGTACCAGTGAAACTGTTGCAGGAGAGCGACGGTCTAAGAAGTGACGAAATTAAATATGAGGTTCAAAGCAATAATACGGCGGGGAGCTATTGGGCTATAGTTTTACAAAAAATGATTGGGGGTCTACAAAATACATTAATTGGTGATTATGTAAAAAAAAAATTAAACCTTCAAAATGGGCCGGGATAGCTGGTTGAAAGGGCACTGGGCCCATGTCGAAGAGGTCGTAGGTTCGATACCCGCAATCTGAAGACTCCCCGTGAAGCAAATGGTTACTGATGCACGTTAAATCTGTCGAGTCCCAAAGTCAAATCATACATCTGGGAGTTTCCTTGTCTTCTGGATTAGTTCAAAATTACAAAGCTACGGTGCTGAAAATTAGTTGTAAACCTAAAATTGGGAGAGCTATTCAACGACGGTTATAAAAAAAAAACTTAAAAATGTTACAATAATTTTTAAAAAAATAAGCAGATTATCGGTTTATGAATACGAAAAGAGAAACACAACATATATTAATTTAAACCTATATATTAGCCCTTTGCAATCGAAAGGTGCCTCCTAGGCACCCCTGTCACCCATAAACTACCCGCAACTCTAAACGTTAAAACTTTTACGTTTTAATGCTAAGAGACACAGTTTTATTTAGTGGACTCTAGATATTATATAGTAGATGTGTAAATAATGAGTTAGTAAACTTTTGTGGTTGCTTCCGTTTATTTAACCTTTAAAAGGACCTCGTCAACGAAGGGCTAAATGTTAGAATTATAAACAATTAGGCTTTGCATTTCTAATAAAAATTTCATTAAAAATTTTATTTGCTATAAAAATTGCAGCTTTAATTAACTATCACTGGAAAAAATTTTACGCGTAAATCTGAAATGATAGAGGACGATAGCAATAATTCAGGCAGAGAGCTATTTAAAGTTTCAGCTCCTTTACGCAATCTCACCACATATAATGCGTCATTTTCTACCCAATAACTTTTTTTTTTTGAAAGCTTAAAAAATTCTGAATATAAGTACAAATATTTAGAGCAATATCTTTAATTTTAAAGAAGTTACGTAAAGTTCTGAGCAAACGGATGTAACAAAGAACGCGGCTTAATTTATGCAAAACACTCAATGCATTATGTTTTTAGCAACGTTGATAATAAACTTCCTTTTTTTTTAGTTGATAATAGAATAAATCTATTAGCAATAAACTTAGTAAAAACAATTGTAAGTTGAAAATTCTTACGTTTAATTCTCTTAATCTACCCAACATTTAATACTGCTGCATTTTTTTTACTGCTTATAACAATTCATTTCGGCCGGGATAGCCTGGTTGGTAGGGCGTAGGGCCGATGTCCAAGAGATTGTGAGTTCCCGAAAACTATCTTTGTATTAAATGGTGACTGATGTACGTTAAAGTTGTCGGGTCATAAAGTCCTCTATGCTCCCATAAGAAATCATACTTATGGGGGTACTGAGTTGGAGATTGATCATTCTCTGGTTTAGGTCAAAATTACGCTCTGTGGATGAATTAATGGATGTATAAATGCTTCCGCCATATAAACGGGATGAGACTTATGTGTGTGGTAAGTTTATATCTTGGCCATTGATGGCGCCTACGGAAGAGCACCCACATTGCTTTTGGCATGCGATAACAACCATCCAAGTTTAGACAGCAATTGTTTTGATTACGCAAACACTAAATATTTTAACGAAAATTGTTAAGACTTTACATATTTATTCAAGTTATTTTTATATAGAGGGGATTCAAAATCGTTAGTAATCAATTTTATTAAACAAAGACAGAAATATCAACAAATGCATTTTATTCAAAACTCTCTTCAAAATAAAAAGTCAACTTTAAAAATAAAAAAAAATCAGTTTGTCGCTTCAAAAAGAAAAAGAAAATTTCATTCAGCGAAACAAGAAATTTGGCAGTTCAGCAATTGCCAATATTGCATTGAAATTGCATTGAATGGTATTGCAATATTGCATTTACAATTAATAGCTAAGAGCTCTGACATTTTTAATGAGTGATCCAAATAATATGATAAATCTACGGCTATTTGAATTAAGGTAACTAAATAGTCCTAAATGAATTTTTTGATTATTATGTAATTTTAACGTTTCTTAATTCGACTATTTTAGTTGTTAATTATTATGTTGCATTCAAATAAGTAAGCCCATATAATACTTAGCCACAAAAAGTGTTCTATGCATAAAAAACATCTAAATAAAAAAAAGTTTCATTTCATATATTTATAGCAAGTTCAACCAATTACTTCACCTTTAATTAAAAGCACAATATTTTGTCTTTAGATAAAAACAAGCAAACTTATATAAATAATAAAGTATGGTATGCAGAACTCTCTTATTTTTACAAAATAAATCCTAATAATAAAAAACTTGACTTACCACTAGTTTTTTCCTGCAAAAGAAATCACCGTTTTAAACAGATAAGCAAAATTTGGTAGATATTTGGTTCAAACGGTTGCCTTAATATAAATACTAACTGAATAAGCATTCTCCGTACTGTGTGAGAGAGATTAATCTTAGATTAAACTACCACTAAATCAGAACTGAATAACATTTTGAAATTCTGCACAAATTTGAGACCTATACTCTAACACAATTAATAAAGCTAAAATAATTTCACTTTTTGTTTGTTCCTGACGGCGAATCTATTTAACGATTAACTGTATTGAATATCTTTTGGAATATTGTACTCATGATTGTCGAAATTTACCACAATTAAGTGATTTTTTCTGGAACTTACTCCTTTCAAAAGCCCGTAAAACCCCTTTTATCTCTTCCTAATTATCTAAATTAATACTGCAAAGTATTTACACAGTTTCAATAGGTACCAAATAAACCAAGTACTAATTCTACCTGCATTAGTATGTTTGGTACCATGATACCAAAGTGCCTGTTACAGAAATTAATAAAGCACCATTGACGTCAATAATAGCATGGCGATTTTTATGTTCCTCTTGAATGAATTAGTGCCATTTCTTCATTAATTTTACTTTTTAGTACATAGCTTCAGTACCACTTACTAAAATTAACTAAGCATGATTGGTGTCATGTATGGAGACTTTTTTTAACTTTTCTCCTAAACGAATTAGCTCCATTTCTTCATTAATTTCGATATTGAGTAGATAGTTTTTTTTTTTATTTCAATTATAGTGCCTACTACCGAAATTAATTAAGCGTCACTCATAAATTTTTACTTTTCTCATAAATTAATTATTGCCTGTTTCTTCATTAATTATGCTTTTTAGAGCATAGTTTATTATTTTATTTCAGTTAGTACTTGTTACCAATATTAATTAAGCATCCTATACATCAATAATAGTATGACGATTTACTACACTTCTCTTAATGATTCAGTATAATTTCTCTATTAATTGTTCTCTTCAGTTCATAGCTTTTTTTTTAATTAAAATTAGTCCACTTTACTAAAATTAATCAAGCATTATTGGCCTT